CCATTTTGAGGAAGTGAGATTCCCATGATCCTTTGCTAAAGAAAATAATGACATACTAGAGTGAAAAGAACGCATCAGAATTCTTTAATGTTGAAATAATGATTGATATCTGGATGTTGCAATAGGTGCATAATTCATAGAATTATGCACTTCAGTGAGTGCATAATAAAGAGTTTGTGAATGTCAACAAGACACTGTTCCCACTTTAGATCCAGTAGCTGCAAAGATGCATTATGAGCTGTTAAAAAGTGCATATTAATAATTTATTAACCTTTATACCAGTGTTTTTCAACCACTGTGCCGGCACTGTGCCAACATCTCACGGCACACTAGTGTGCCGCGAGATGTTGTCTGGTGTGCCGTGGGAAATTATCCAATTTCACCTAATTGGTCTAAAAAATATTTTTTGAAAACGAATTAATTATTATCCGCAAATAACGTGCCGTTGTCGAGTGTCTGTGCTGTCTAGTGATTGGCAGAGTAACCATGTAATACTCTTCCATATCAGTAGGTGGCAGCAGGTAGCTAATTGCTTTGTACTTTGAGACAAGAGAATTAGTGATGCATGGATGCGTCAGGTGGCAGTGTCAGTGGCATTGTGGCTAGCGAGACTATACGGTGACAGTGATGGACAAGTTTTTGAAAAGGAAAGATGCTAACTCCGAACTGGACCCTGGACAAAATTCGGACCCAGATGAAGGCCCAAGTATGAGTGGAGGTCAAAAGAAAGCAAAGACGGCTCAAGCCGTCTCAAGCAAAGTCTCTGGCGCGAGGCAATACAGCAAAAGCTATCTTTCATTTGGATTTACTTTCACCGGGGATGCAATGAAACCGACTCCGTTGTGCTTGGTGTGTGGTGAAAAGCTATCCAACAGTGCTATGGTCCCAAGTAAGCTTAAACGCCATCTCCAAACGAAACACCCTTCGCTTCAAAACAAGAATGCGGATTCTATTTTGTTCGCCTGCGTGAACACATGGAGAAACAGGCAACTTTCATGAGAAAAACCACAAAGGTAAATGAGAGAGCCCTTAAAGCTAGCTACCATGTTGCTGAACTTGTAGCTAAGTCAAAAAAGTCGCACACTGTGGCAGAGACATTAATACTTCCCGCCTGCAAAGCCATTGTAAATGAGATGCTCAGACCTGAAGCGGCTAAAGAAATAGCCAAAGTCCCTCTCTCAGATAACACAATTTCCAGACGTATTGATAACATGTCTGCAGACGTCGAAAGTGTGGTTTTGGAAAAGATCCATATCAGTAAGAAATTTGCATTGCAACTTGATGAGTCTACTGATGGACATGCTCAACTCTTGGCCAATGTGCATTTTGTGGATGGAGACGCAATCAGAGAAAACTTCCTTTTTTGCAAGGCATTGCCAGAAAAAACAACAGGAGGGGAAATTTTTCGGGTCACATCAGAATATCTTGAACAAGGAGGACTTAAGTGGGAAAACTGCACGAGTGTCTGCACTGATGGAGCTGCAGCCATGGTCGAGCGCACCAAAGGCTTTGTAAGCAGAGTGAAGGAAAGAAACCCAGATGTGATTGTTACGCACTGTTTTTTACACCGTGAGGCCCTCGTAGCCAAGACTTTACCAGCAGACCTAGTTTCTGTGTTGGATGATGTTGTGCGCATGGTAAACTTTGTAAAGTCACGACCCGTGAAAAGTCACATATTTGCATCTTTGTGTGAGGAAATGGGAGCGGAGCATAAAGCCTTGCTGTTTCATACGGAGGTCCGATGGTTGTCGCGCGGCAAGGTCTTGGCCCGTGTGTATGAGCTGTGGGAGGAACTTAAAGTGTTTCTGACAAATGAGAGGTCCGATTACGCAAAGCTGCTTGCAAGTGATGAGTGGTGTGCAAGGCTGGCATACCTGGCAGATATTTTTTATCATCTGAATGAACTGAACACATGAATGCAAGGCCGAAATGAAAACCTGCTTACAAGTACAGATAAAATAAATGGATTCCATTCAAAGGTGCAACTCTGGCAACATCATGTGGAAAGTGGCAATCTTGAAATGTTCACACTCACCAAGCAGTGGCAAGATGTTAACACTGCTGCATTGTGTGAGATAATAGTTAATCATTTAAAAACTCTTGAGGAGAAGATGTCATTTTATTTCTCTTCAGCCTCCACTGAATGCCTTGACTGGGTTAGGGACCCATATAGCTCAGCATCAGTTGGTGGAAAGGACATGACTTTACAGGAGCAGGAGGAACTAACTGAACTGAGACAAAACCTTGGTTTAAAGCTAAGCTTTGCTGATCTACCTTTGGACAGTTTTTGGTTGGCTACTGCCAAGGAGTTCCCCATTCTGGCAAACAAAGCTATTTTGACATTGCTCCCATTTTCCATGACATATCTGTGTGAGGTGAGCTTTTCAAGCCTGACTGCTATAAAAACTAAAAACAGAGAGAGACTGAGAGCTGTGGAGGAAGAGCTTCGTGTGTGTCTTTCTTCGATTCCTGCCAGGATATCAGCTCTGTGTTCATCCAAACAGGCCCAGGTTTCACACTGAGTGAGTACAAATATGAACGATTATAAAATACTTTTTCTTTGTGTTTATTTGATTCCTATTCAAGACACTTTGATGAGAACGACTTTATATTGTCAATACAGGCTACAGAGTTTCATTTTTTTAACATTTTCTGCTGGTGGTGTGTCTCGTGATTTTTTGAATGAAAAAAATGTGCCTTGGCTCAAAAAAGGTTGAAAAACACTGCTTTATATGACACTGTTCCCACTTTAAATCCAGTTGCTGCAAAGATGCATTATGAGCTGTTAATAAGTGCATATTAATAATTTATTAACCTTTATACAACACTGTTACCACTTTAGATCCAGTTGCTGCAAAGATGCATTGAGCTGTTAATAAGTGCATATTAATAATTTATTAACCTTTATACGATACTGTTCCCACTTTAGATCCAGTAGCTGCAAAGATGCATTATGAGCTGTTAATAAGTGCATATTAATAGGTTATTAACTTTTATACGACACTGTTCCCACTTTAGATCCGGTAGCTGCAAAGGATCATTATTTAATATGTGCATAATTAAGCATTTATTAACCATAATATGGCATTTATATTAACTTCTTATAGTGTCATTAAGGTTAATAAACACCTTATTAATTTCATCTTATAGGGTCTTATAGTGTCTTATAAACCAATTATAAATGTGGTTACTATTCTATAATTAACCCTTATAAATTATATCTGGAGCGAAGTGAATCTCATGCTTGAATCCTTTTTATTGACTTTTCATCTGCTTTTAATACAATCCAACCCCACATTTTGGCCAAGCGCCTTTTAGAACAATTTAATTTTAATTCTAATCTTGTAGGTTGGATTTTGGATTTTTTAACTAACTGGATGCAGAGAGTAAGAGTGAATGAAGTCCTGTCGGATGGATGCATACTTTCACCGCTTCTGTTCATCCTTTACACAAACATGTGCCAGAGCAAATATCAAAATAGGACAATTATTAAGTATGCGGATGATTCTGTTATTGTGAGTCTGCTCCAGAAAAATGAAAGACACCACGGCCCTATAGTTGATGACTCTGTGCAGTGATGTGAAGAGTCACATCTTCAACTTAAAACAAAGGATATGTTAATTGATTTTAGCAAACAAACTAACACACATGATGCCACAACCATAAAAGGTCAGTCAGTGGAATGTGTGGAATCCTACAAATATCTTGGGACTATTATTGATTTTAAACTGAACTTTCAAGAAAACTGTGAGGCTGTGTGTAAGAGGACAATAGCGTTTGCACTGTCTGAGGAAATTGTCCTTTTATGTAGACAAAAACATGATGACCCTGTTTTATCATGCTTTTATTGAATCCGTATTATCCTTTTCCTTGGTGTCATGGTTCAGAAGCCTCTCTGTTAAGAATAAGAACTCATTTCATGGGTTGCAGCACTTTCTGTCGTTTTAAATTTCTTTCTTGTATTCTGTGTTCTATGTTTTGTTTTGATTGTTCAAACTGTGATGGATGTTTTGACTCTCGACTGCAAAACTAGTTTACCCTTGGGTATCAATAAAGTAACCTGAACCTGAACTACAAAAGACTTTTTCTGCCATTTTGAATGGGCTGAGGTTACGTGAAATGCCTTTCCATTTCCTACAATGAACAAATCATCTGTGGAGTCAAGTGATTCTAACAGCCTGCAACTTTAATCTGCAAGAGGTCAGTGGGGCCATGCTATTAAATGACTCATTTAAAGGGACACACTAACGATCTGGATACAGACCGAATTACGATGTCACTAAAAACAAAATCCATGAGTGCAGCAAAATGCTGCCTACCTACTTTTGTTTGTACAGAATGTGCCTTTTTCGGGGCAATGGGGGGCGTGAGCAAGTAACAAAACGTGTAGATCAGCATGTGATGTAAACAGTGACGTGGGAGGGAAGCTGCGGCTAGTCAGTCCTTCAGCGATTCTCTCGTAAGTCGGCCTGTTCCTCACCATTCCCGTCATCTGATGGTTCATGGCCTCTTTGTTTGCGAGGGCAAGGACGGCACGCAATTCCTTGTCTCCCCAGTTGCTCATCTTTACAGTGTCTGTCAGGTTTGCGTTTTCCTCTTGCTACTAGCTGCTCGCTAATTCCTGCTATCAGACACATTGTGATTACTCGAAAGTAGATGAGGACACAGACAGCTGGCATGTACAGTTCTGTCTGTTACATGGCAGATGACAAAATTGTGTGGATGAGCATTAAGACATTGGCTTGGTGTTATAGTGTGGATGGGGTAAACCTACTTTGTATTTTTCTTATTCATGGTAAATGTCGTAGCTGACAACACAGCTGTGACAATAACTTGTGTATGCTGATGTTGTCAACATATCTTATGTTATTAAGATCTACTATTTTCTCTGTATTAAAACACAATGTAGGTGATCACAGAGAGCAGGTGGAAGCTGCCCTAAGGTTTATCCAGCCAATATTCTGTTGTTCTGTATGTAAAAAAAGGAAGTATGAAGGTACCTTCTGCGGACTGGACCTCTGAAGGAAGGATCAAACCTGTGTGGTTCTCCTAGAAGACACAAAAATAAATTAAAAGCTTGAATGGATTTGGGCCAAACCTACTCACACCTCAACACCTGGTGAGAGGAGAAGAAAATAAACAGTGGCTGAGGTGTATAGTAGACAGTTACTCAAATTCGACAGGTCACAGTCGACACAGCTAACAGATGTTCAGAACCACTGTATAGAAGATGTATTGTCTACCCTGTTGTTTTAAATTTCAAGCCTGCATCTGCATGTTGTTCGTTAGGCAAGCAGCTGGTGGCCGCAACCAACAGTTTCTCTGTAGCTCCAAAGCAGAAGTTAGCACCACCCCGATTCCATCATCAAAAAGCCTACGGGATTTTTCCACTGGATTTTGGCTCACTGAAAAAAAATAAGCTCTGTGGCAAACAAACGTTTATGATACCTACACATTCTGTCCAGCAAGATAATATTCACTAATGAACACCACTTTCATGATTGAAACCTGAATACAATCACCAGAGGTATAAAGCTAACTTTAGGCTGTAAAGGAACTACACCATGGTTGCATGTCTTAACGATGTCCCCACAGTCAACCCGGTCTCACTCCGAAGTCGTCAAAATCCAGCTATTGGGCAGTGACTTCCGGTGTCAGACACTGACTAATAAAGCCGTCCTTTTAACGTCGGCATGATATGCAGCCGGTAGCTGTTATAGTTTATGCAGGATGGCGGCTTCAGGGGGGAAAAGTCCCAGGAGGATGTGCAGGAGTGGTGTTGGATGAGTCCAACAAACACTGACTTTCACCCGAGATAGCAGTGTTCATGCCCTATAAGATTAAATAGCCAAACCCTGTTCTTTTTTGCTAAACCCAACTACATGCTTTTGTTGCCTAAACCCAACCATGTGCATTGGTTGTCAAAGGAGAAGGGAAAAAAAGGGCAATTTACAGTGTTTATTTTGGAAAACACTGTATGTAAATGGTGAATTTCCTGTGAAAAGTGAAGTGCATTTTGAAAGAAGACTATGCATGTAACAGGCTGAAGTTGACACAGTGTACCATAATGTCAACAACCAAAGTACCCAGGGTACCTTGCATGTTGTATCTTGACGTGGAAAGTCCATGACCGAATGTTGATATGTGACGATGTTAGAATGAGGATGTGTTGCCACAGCACGGTTGTAAAGCTGTGTCCGCGCAATGACGTCTTGTAGTCTCATTTACCTACCTTACTTGTCAGCAACCACCTTTTTTAAGACACAAAAGCTTTAAAATAAATGAATGGGCCATTTACTGCTGTATTTAATGTCATAGAACAAAACTTGGAAGTCTCTTAAGCTTGTGTGAACCACAGACCTCATTTCAGGCACCTAACTAAAAACCCATTCAAAAAACCCAATGGCCTCTAGTTTCCCGGCGTGGCGCAGGGTGGCGTACCCCGCATGGAGCTAGTTTCGAGTAGCGCAACCCGAGGCGCGCTCAGTTTGGTAGTTTGGCAGACCGAGGTGCACTGAGATGGGTGTGGCGGCGCAGCAGGGGGAGGTGTCGACAGATCCAGCTTGGAGCAGTGACAGTTTCGTGCCAAAAGGCTTCGCCGAAGGTGCGCTAAAAGCTCGCCAGCTGAAACCAGGTCTACTGTCAGCGCAGGTGGAGCATAGCTGGTGTAGTGGAAGTTTGGTTGACCGGCGGACGGTGCACGCACGTCACCAAAACCTCACAGGCAGGTTTCCAGAATGTCAGGCACATTAACGATGCAATAAATTCCCACAAAAACCACTATTCAATGCAACTATCTGCAATCAGCACATAAATGTATCTCTGTATCGACTGTCCCGTCACATCTGATGTTGAGGTGGATTGGCACCGTTTGGCACGCGTAATGGAAACCCAGCCTGATTTGATTAACACAGCTGCAAACTAATGAGTTCACATCCTTCTTAGCCAACTACAAACAGCCACAGCATCAGATAGGGAGTATATATTCAGCATCTGTCATCTTAGAAAAGTTAAAAGAAAAGAAACAGAGTGAGACTGCGAGAGAGAAAGAGAGAGCGCACGCGCACGAAACGCAACATTGATTTACAATTGTGGTGACCTCCTCCCAGGCTATCTTTGCATCATCAGCCCGTGGAGGTCTGCTTGCAGTTCTGTATATTCGGACACTGCGAGCTTGGACCTCCCGGACCAAAACATCAGTTTCCTCCTGGGAGAAGTTTGGCCATCTGACGCTGCTGCTCTCTTCTGCCATGGCGAATTGAGTAAACTCTCATTACGCCTTCGCATGGCTTAGTTAAGGGCAAGGAGAGGGGCTCATTTGATTAGTGTGATGTGAATCGGCTATGTAAAACCCACTCCACGCCTTCTCTCCTCCAAGTGGAGCAGATTGCTGAAACGATCTTTCACTTAGTGATGCAAGCACCAAATTTGGCACACAAGTGCTTCAGAACCTACTCTCTCAGAAAAGTATGATGTCCACTTAAAAAAATAAAATAGCTGCCTTTTTTCAAGATGGCCGCCATTCGAAGTGGTATTAAATGGTGTTTGAACTATATATTTGATTGAATAATCCTATTTTGATGATCTACACATCAAAATATATATGTTTTTGAGTATGAGAAATCCAATTCTGCATTTAGAAAATCAAAATTATTGAATATTATGATGATAAAATGGGATTTAAACGAAGGAACACTCTCTGTGATGTTTCCGATGTGATGTCTGGGTACGTGACCACCCAATGTAGAGACATGATAGGACAGTAAACTGCTTATTGCATTTCAACAGTGCTAGAAGATGTAGTATGGCTTATCTGGGGTTGACCAGTGCATTAGAAATATGATGACACTTTTCTGATAGGGTTATGTTAACTTCAATTACAAACAATGTGAACAAACTGATTGGCTTGTGTGCTTTTTTTTCTTTTCTTTTTTTGGCCCGCCACCAACCCCCCTCTACGGAAGACAACTTTATTGACCCACCACCACACCCCCCCCTACGGAGGACAACTTTATTTGACCCGTGGATATTGACTAAGCTTTTTAAAGACAGGGCTCACTTCAGGGCAAACCTCCCATGCTTGCCATGCAGTTTTCTTGCCTTTACCACGAAAAGCTGACACAACATCACAGCCAGTAAAGGCGTGAAAGAATAGCATGCCACTGGATGTTGATAGCGCCGTAGGCTCGCTGCGAACAACACTCGACTCTGTAGCTCCTCTTAAAAAGAAGTTAACAAAGCCAAGAAAGTTCGCTCCTTGGTATAACTCTCAAACCCGTAAGTTAAAACAAATATCGCAAAAGTTTTAAAGGAACTGGCGATTAACCAAACTGGAAGAATCTCGTTTAATCTGGGCAGACAGTCTCAAAACTTATAAGAGGGGCCTCCGCAATGCCAGAGCAAACTATTACTCAGCTTTAACAGAAGAAAACAAGAATAACCCCAGGTTTCTTTTCAGCACTGTAGCCAGGCTGACTGAGAGTCAAAGCTCTATTGAGCCTTGTATTCCTTTAGCCCTTAGCAGTAATGATTTTATGAGCTTTTTTAATGACAAAATTCTAACTATTAGAGGCAAAATTCATGACCTCCTGTCCTCAGATAGTAGCTATCTAACCTCAAACACAGCTGTAAGACCTAATATATATTTAGATTGCTTCTCCCCAATTTCTCTTCAAGAATTGACCGCAGTGATTTCTTCATCTAAATCATCAACGTGTCTCTTAGACCCCATCCCAACTAGGCTACTTAAGGAGGTCTTTCCTTTAGTTAACACTCATATATTAGATATGATCAATATATCCTTATTAACAGGCTATGTACCACAGTCTTTTAAGGTAGCTGTAATTAAACCTCTACTAAAAAAGCCCACCCTGGATCCAGAGGTGTTAGCCAACTATAGACCAATATCTAATCTTCCCTTTATGTCAAAGATCCTTGAGAAAGTAGTCGCAGACCAGCTGTGTGATTTTCTCCATGATAATAATTTATTTGAGGAATTTCAGTCAGGATTTAGAGTGCATCATAGCACTGAGACAGCACTAGTTAAAATTACAAATGACCTTCTGATTGCTTCAGACAAAGGACTTGTCTCTGTACTTGTTTTATTAGATCTTAGTGCGGCGTTTGACACAATTGACCATCAAATTCTACTGCAGAGACTGGATCACTTAATTGGCCTAAAAGGTTCTGCACTAAGCTGGTTTAAATCTTATTTATCTGATCGTTTTCAGTTTGTTGACGTTCATAATGAATCATCCTTACGTACCAAAGTTTGTTTTGGAGTTCCGCAAGGTTCTGTGCTCGGACCAATCCTATTTACTCTATATATGCTTCCTTTAGGTAACATCATTAGAAATCACTCTATAAATTTCCATTGTTATGCGGATGATACTCAGTTGTATTTATCGATGAAGCCAGAAGAAAGTAATCAATTAACTAAACTCCATAACTGCCTTAAAGACATAAAAACTTGGATGAGCACCAATTTCCTGATGTTAAATTCAGACAAAACTGAAGTTATTGTTCTTGGCCCCAAACAACTCAGAGACTCTTTATCTGATGACATAGTTTCTCTAGATGGCATTGCTCTGGCCTCTAGCACTACCGTAAGAAACCTCGGAGTAATATTTGATCAAGATTTGTCTTTTAATTCTCATTTAAAACAAACCTCACGGACTGCATTTTTTCATCTGCGTAATATTGCGAAAATTAGGCCTATCCTGACCCGAAAAGATGCAGAAAAATTGGTCCACGCTTTTGTTACCTCTAGGCTGGATTACTGTAACTCTCTATTATCAGGTAGCTCTAGTAAGTCCTTAAAAACTCTCCAGCTAATTCAGAATGCAGCAGCACGTGTACTAACAGGAACTAAGAAACGAGATCATATTTCTCCTGTTTTAGCTTCTCTGCACTGGCTCCCTGTAAAATCCAGAATTGAATTTAAAATCCTACTGTTAACTTATAAAGCTCTAAATGGTCAAGCTCCGTCATATCTTAGAGAGCTCATAGTGCCTTATTATCCCACCAGAACACTGCGCTCTGAGAACGCA